AAGAGGGCACGGTTTAGGGGAGGAATGGAACAGTTGCGGGTGTGCTATCAAACTGAGTATGACAGTGCCGTGCCATCATTGGCCTGACATGCTTCAGTTTTTGGACAGCCCCGTGACGGACGTCAACATTTGAGATAATTCGTCTTGGGTATGCAGTTCATTGAGCAGCGGTATTTATTTCAGCCTGGTCGAGGAAACAAGCTCGAACGAAGCCGATATGGGACTGCAGGTTTTCTTGGTCCGTTTGGTGATCCCGGAGTTGTAGATCATAGGCCAGGTGGAGTGGAGATCAGCTAACCAGATCGTCCAAAGCGGGCACTTCCGAAGTTTAAGGCATGCACTAATATACACGGCAGAGAACCGTATAGGTATCGTCACCTACTCAATGGAGACACGTGTCACTGGGGGACAATCCAGCTGAAATTGCACCTCGTGGGACATATAACCTTGGTCCAGTGCGTAGATGATTAATAAGACTTAGATTTTCACTCAAACTAGAGAGTAACTGACCTTCACAGCCTCGACTGACGCAGCTCCATGGTGTCCAGCTGAAAAGCCTTGTAGAACAGGTTAACCGATCGGAGGGAAATGACGTCATGTGCCCGTCAATGTCTCGGTTTTCTTGTTGGATGAAGCTACAGAAGGTCGCGGCTTGGTTGCGGCGGTACCGACAATATGCTTAAGAGGCAGAGCAGAAGAAGGAGCTCTACCTTCCGGTATTATCAGAGTACCCGAACTCCGTCAAGCACGTAATTTTTGATAAAGATCGTGCAATCCAGTCACTTCGCGCAAGAGCTGCATCAGGTTAACGCTCCTGTACTGAATGCGAAGCCCTCCAGATATCGAAATCATAACGGCAGCTAACGAAAATTGTCACCTGCTCTGATTTTTGACTTTGTGCGTGGGGGCAGACTTACTTACTCGAACCACAGTCAGTCAATGAAACATCCAGCTCTTCTTCCGAACCGACATGCTGTTACTTCCTTGATCGTGCGTCACTTTCATGAAGTGGAAGAGCACTGTGGAGTAAAGCAGGTCCTGGACACTATCCGGCAGCGATGGATTGGGATCGACGCCGCTACACGAGTGACTGGTGCGTTTTCCTCATTCAGACGCCGGTCTGGACAGCTCTGTACACAAATGATGGCTCCATTGCCGGCAGACAGCGTAGAAGCGGGTTGGTGCCCCTTCGAGTGAGTTGGTTGGAACTAATTTGGACCTTTTAAGACCAAACGCGGCCGTTCGCAAGAAGAACGCTTTGGCTGCATTTTTGGCTGGTTGAATACTAGAGCAGTCCATTTGAAAATGGCAGGCAACCTGTCGACTGATTCATTCCTACAATGTTTGATGTGCTTCGTTGGTAGGTGTCGCAAGCCCAACGATAACTACAATGATAATGGTACGAACTTCGTTGGTGCGCTAACGGAATTTCGGGATGATATGAAGCGATGGAGTCCAAGCAAAATATCAGCTCCGTTTTTGACTATGGATATACAGTGGCACTTCAATCTAACGGCAGCTAGCCACCGTGTTGGTGTTTATGAGTGTATAATCATGTCAGTACGACTTATCCTTTTATGTCTATGTAGGGGACAGTGTTTGACCGATGAACAGCTGAACAAGCTTCTTATACGGGCGGAACGGATTCTAAATAACCGACCTATAGTCCCGATATCATCAGACGGCAACGATTTGGAGCCGCTTACTCCAAAGAGTTTGTTGCTCACTCGGTGCTGTCCTGTGGTGCTCGGTCGAGACGGTTTGGCCTCGCGATATCATGCCAGTTTGAAACAGGTCAATTATTTCGCTGGCCTATTCTGGCGTCGTTGGATAAAAGAATATCTGCCAACGTTGCAGGTGCGTGCCAAGAGGCTCGGAGCATCTTAAGAAATGAAACGAGAGGACTTGGTTCCAGCCTCTGGTGAAGACCTGCCTCGTGAAAAATGGCCTCTAGGTGTAGTGGACACTTGTGAGGCGAGCCCATATGGCTTAGTAAGAAAAGCTGCACGTTAGAACGACGGGCTGCGTTCTTAAGAGAGATACAAGAAAGATGCGTTTACTGGTGGGACGCGATTAGGCTTGTACTCCATCGAAGTCGGGTTGGGGCAGGGGTAGACTCAAACCATTCGTGTCGGTGCCTGATGGGGTACCTTAGAATGGAGCTTATCCTGGGCGTCCGCTGAATCAGCACGGAGAAGTTAGCGGGCGGTGTATCTTCTATTACGCTGACAATGAAATTCCCTTCGTTTATTTTGTCTCCGTTTGTAGCCCCCGCCCCTGTTTTGTGTTCGGTGTCTATATATGAACTGACGTTTGTTTGTCCTTACCATTTGGCCTCGTTTTCATCTGGCCATTTGTAGCCAACTTTGCACGTGTGACTGTCGCACGCGGGAGCCTGTTTGCTCCCTTGGTTTGTGCTGTGGACCGTTTGTTTTGGACGCGTATCTACTGTCGAGGTTTGTATAATCTGCGAACTTGTCTCACACTAATAGTGCCGTATAGAAACCAGGCTCCGACTTTGTTTACCAACCGTTGGTTCCGGTATTACGTGTCACTCGAAGATACCGCTCGCCCGTTACATTGACAATGAAGAAGACTGTGATGGACAACCCTTGGAGTAGCCGCTGTCAGCCTCTATCATGTTATTGTTCCCTGCCAAAAGCTTACATCATTCTCCCACGCAAACGCTGCCCACTGCGGAAGCCGTTCTGCTGGGGGTAATAGTATAGTTCTGCGTTTATATGACGAATTTGCCGTAAACACACATTGGAACTTTCCCCTGATCTGCTGTGAACAGCCCTTTCACATACCGGATTACCAGCTCTCTCTAGTGGCTCGTGCTGTCGAATCAACTCTAACTGACAGA